CCTAGGAGTAGCCCTGCTGACTCTCAGAATGGTAACTTGGTGGTCCCCAGTTTGTGCCTACGGAATAGAGCTGATTAGGGGCCATTTCCATGCTCTGTCTGGACAGAAGACATTGTACAGTAGTTATCTGAAGCCCCATTCCTGTAGCTTTCTGTCCTTAAAGTAGATTCCCAGAGGTGTCCCTCGGTGCCTGGGACAGATTAGGTTCCACCGTGGCCTTTTCCTCCCTGGTCAGATGATCAGCTTGGGTCTGACAAATGAGGTCCAGCCCCCTGGGTGTGCAGTCCTGGTAGCCTCCATGCAAACACTCCTTAACTCTGGCTGCAGACATGCTTCTCGATCTCAGCGACCTGCTCCAGGTAGATCTCTTTTCTTAAGTCTTTCTTCCCTGAGTGCATTACAAGGCCACAGCCTGTGCTTCCATATTCCTGGAGGCCAATCTGTGCTAACCGCTGTAGTAGGCATCCTGTGTGTTCAGGGTGGTGAAGCTTGTGTGGCCAGAGCTTGGGGCCTCAGTAGGAGAGGGCAGCTCACAGCCACAGTATTATCCAGGGCCTGGTGGCTTAGCCTTAGAATCACTTAAGAGAACCTCGTGAAACTTAGTCTAAGACAAAGAAGATTCTTTTAAAGGGAATATTGGACACCGTTGCATGCATTTCATACTCTGGAAAACCCTCATAAGTATAGTCTATTTAGGGTCACTAGCTTTTTGGATTCAGATGAACTGTTTTTGTTTGTTTGTTTTGTTTTTGTTTTTGTTTTGCATTGCTTGTTTCTGCTTGTTTTTTAAGATCAGGTCTCCTGTAGCTCCTGCAAGCCTGGAACTGCCCCTGCCCCGCCCCCGCCCCTGTCATGCTGGGATTAAAGGCATGCGGCACAATGTCCAGCACACTGTTCACTTCTAAGTAACTGAACATCTTGAGAAGATGCACGTAGGCACCCTCAAAGGCAGTGAAGGAGAGTGGGGAATGGACTGCCCCACTGACGGTACTGTGCGAGGTGGCTGAAGTCCCCAGACCAATCCCTGAGGTCCACAGTGACACTAGGGACCAGGACCAGGAAGTAGAATGAATGCCCACAAGTTCACCCTGAAAGGAAACCCTGGTCTAGGTACTCCCAGGGACCCTGAGAGCCCATAGGCTAGGCTGCTGCTCCTGGTTGCTCATGCCTCAGTGCCTCTGAAGACAGTTAGATTTCAGTCAGGCGGTGCCCTGTATTTTTGTCCTCCCAGCTGTCTTTATAAATGGCATCTCTCAGCAGCGATTGCTGAAATATTTTTTAGTCAAGCTAAAAATAACCTGTTGGAATTGTGATAATCCATTGACTCCACCTTTGAATACGTTGTGCTCCGTTCAGAGCATGGCCACACGGCTGTTCATCTGCTCCCAGACTCCCAGAAAAGATGGGCCGGGGCAGGCGGTGCCAGCAGTAGCTTGGACTCCTCGTAAAGGGAAACAGGTGCACCAGTCATCTGGGTCACAGCTCTGGGAGTGGGAAAGCAGCCCAGCCTGCAGGATAAAAGGTGGCAGGCATGCCACCAGGAAAGGCTGAGGTCTGGCCAGCTGTGTAGTCTGGGTGGCTACAACTACTCTTCTTGGTAGGGCTGTGCTGGCAAGATGGAGTGTGAAGGGGCCTGCAGGTGAGGGCCATGGGAGGCTGTTCCTGCCCAGCAACTTCCACGGTGCGTTCTTTGGTTCCTCCGCTGTCTCCCTGCCTGAACTTAAGGCAAGACAGTTTTGCTCTGATCTGGGTGGGGCTCATGCCAGGTCAGTGAAGATCCTGGGTGGAGCTGGCTGCTTTGCAGGAGTCACAGTAGAACTGGCAGAGACCCTGAATTGAAAGCCTCACTTTTTCCTGACTCACGTACCTGCCAAAGGCAGACAGCCATGAGTCACAGGCACAGGAGAGTGAACTGTCAATGTGATGATGACCGACAGTACCTACCGATATTAGTATGCCTAGAAGAAGCCAGTACTGCAGTATACGCTTGTAGTCCCACATGCTTAAATACTATCCTACAAAGTATTCTTTTGTTTCTTTTAGATTTATTTGTATGAGCATTGCCTATATGTATATGTGTGGACTCACATGTGTCCCTGGTACCCACAGAAGCCAGAAGAGGGTGTTGGAGCCTCTAGAACTGGAGTTAGAGATGGTTGTGAGCCACCATGTGGGTGTTGGGAACTAAACCCAAGGCCTCTGCATGAGAAGCAAGGGCTCTTGACCACTGAGGTCTCTCCAGCCCCTGGGAAGTGTTAAAACTTTGAATTTACATGTGAAGTCTATTCAGTCTCTCTGTAGCAATCAGGTTTCATCCTCAAACATATCCATCTGGTTAAGATAGTGAAGGAGTTTGAGGTGGTTAGATGGAGGTCTGGGCCAGCTTTGGCCAAAGCACTGGAGTGGGGACCTGGATGTCTGTGGGAGCCTGAGAGGATGCTGCAGGAACAGAGTACTCCTTTAGGAGCACACTTGTTTGTATATTTGAATACAGACTACCTACCATATGACCTGTGCATATGATTACATCACATGCTCCCATGTTTGCAAACCACACATGATCACTCACGTGGGCCACATAGTCACACACACCACAATTTTGAAGGCGACCCTTGAAACTGCAGGAAGGTAGAATTACTTCAGGAAGTGCTCTTTGAGCCTCCAGTCCTTATGTAGACCTCGGGAAGATATCTTTGTCTAGCCAGGGTGCAGGGTGACCTCCCCCACTGCTGATTGGCTATGGTGGCTGGACCTGACCTTTTCAGTTGGGCTGACTCACTGAATTGACAAGTCATAAAATCTCTCCCCCTAGTCCTTCTTCATCTAAGGAAGACCCCAATGTGTATTATCCCATAGACGTTGTCTCTTGACCTATGTCAACAAATAGGGGGTATGACCTTCATGCCAAGAAAAGGGCTAGAGAGAGCCAACAGGCTAGGCTTGACTAGGCGAGGGAGTTCTTTCAGGAGGCCAGCGGCAGACCAGTCACACCTGTCAGTTTCGGGTGGTCTGGCGTGAGGTCTGTGGGGGTGTCAGGGAGCTGTGGATGGGAGGAGCTTCTGTCTAGGGTTGGGGCAGGCCTGAGTACCCAGGTCAATCCGTACACTGCTGGGCTAGGTACTGAACTGCACGTCAGGGTTCTGTACACTGGCAAACCTTTGCTTTCCTGACAACTGATAGTGCTCCTGCCACTCCAGCCCCGGATGGACTCACCCCACTGCTTACCTCCTCGCAAAGAAGAGCTGTGGCAGGTGGCCAACAGGCTACATGGCAGATAAGGACTTGAGGTGAGGGTAGTGGAGGAAGTATTTAAAGAACTTTCCTAAACAATCATTGACAAGAGTAGGGGAGTCTGGGCAGCCCAACAGAGGAAGGCTGGTCCTCCTTGTGGAGACCAGCAAAGAATCATGGAGTGGATTTTCCATAGCCCAGCAGGGATTTCTGGCAGTGGGTTCTTCCAAGGTTGTACAGAGAAACAGGCACATTAAAACAGCAGCTGAGCTGGGTGTGGTGGTGCATGCCTTTACCCAGCACTTGGGAGGCAGAGGCAGGCGGATCTCTGAGTTTTAGGCCAGCCTGGTCCACAGAGCAAGTTCCAGGACAGGCAGGGCTACACAGAGAAACTGTCTGAAAAAAACAAAATACCAAACAAAAATTATTAAAAAAAGGAAAAAAGCAAATGTTTTCTTGAATACCAGTGCATTCCTAGCCATGTTCTCTCTGTCACAGGTGAATGTGTATGTGCTGGGGAAGACGTTCCTGCTCTTGGCGAGGGAGCTCTGCATCAATGCACCGGCTATAGGTAGGCTGGGCTGACATGATACCACTGTGGAGACTAACATGCCAGGTCAAAGTACAGAACCCTAAAGGGAAGAATGTCTCCTAGAATATGTGAGACATATGGTCAGTAAGGTTTTATTTCTGGTGCAAACTCAGAAGGCTTCCTACCAGTGCCTGTCAAATGTGGCTCAGATCCAAAGGGAAGAGTAGGGTGCTTCGTGTGGGGAACCTGGCAGATACCGTGGGAAAGGCAGGGGCCTCCTAACAATTGAGGGAAGACGTTTCAGGAGCAGGTGCCCTCTAGCCATGGCCCTTCCCATATTCAAGGATGGGTTTTCATGGTTTCTGAAGTATCAACTCATGGTTAAGAGGCACTACTGGGGGCTAGAGCAGAGGATCTGGGAGGATAGGGTTGAGTCCCAACAGAGCCAGGCTTCTGATGTAAGACACACTGGGCTAGGGCACAAATTCTCCCCAGACACCATTGTCCTGCTAGTGGACCTTTGAAGGCCGGGTGCTTTTCCAGGACAAAACATTTGCAAGGGAGGACAGAGGTCTGGGCCTAGGGATCCCTGTTTACCCAAGCACCCCTTAGCAGGGCACACACCACACAGCCCGCTCCTTAACCCTGACCCCCACAGTCAGACCTTGAGTGCTTTAACAGTCACCCAGACATGTGGCCTTCTGCAGAATTGTAGCTACAGCCCACAAGAGGAAGACAGCACACATGCCAGGCAGGTGTAGCTGGGCTCCCCTGAGATGGGGTTGGTTTTAACTGCTCTGCACTGCAGACTTCATAACAGACACGATGTTGTTGTCAGAGTCAGAGACAATGGGCTAGTAAATAATTCCTACCGTCACTCATCTACATGTGGCTTTTGTTCTGTGAAGCCTTTATTATGAAAAGTCACTTAAATAGGGTGGAACTATTTTAAGTGGCTTTTCAGCAACTCAAGGCTTGAATGGAAGGTGGACTGGAGGCATTTAGAATCCAAGGGTTCTGAAGCTTGGATGCCATTGGGCAGGGACCTGTCCTCCATCTGCAGAATACCATCTTAGGGTCAGGGGACACCTGCAATTCAGTTCTAGGCTCTGACTGCAAAGAGAAGTCATGTGTTTCAGACTCAGGCTGATAGTGTAAGCCAACCCTTTAATGGTCTCAGTAAGGCAGTAGGCAGTGTCCTGCACCTCCACTGCACTCACTGAGTAGACTCCACGGAGGAAGAACCTGGTGCAAGTCTACCCCAACCTCTACACCTTAGGCATAGAAGATGAGCTCTGGAATCTGTCCACCCTGGACCCCAGTCCCATTGGTACTGTCCGAGGAGCACTGAAACTGGAAGGCCACCTTCCCACACTGCACCTCTGTCATTCCCTCCTGCCCAAAGTAGCTGAGCTCACTGCCGTCCAGGACAGCACTGGCAGTGTAGAAGGTGTCCTGCTCCACTTGGACTGGATGCTCAAACCAGACTGGGAATGTGTTGCTGGATCCATCTGAAACAAACTTGGTGAGATTCTGAGCTAGGACCATCCCTAGCCGCTTGAGTTCAATCTTCACGCTGTACTCAGCCTTCCCAGAACTGGACCCATATAAGCCCAGCCCAGCAATGAACACCCTTCTGTCCACTGCAAACTGGATGCTGTCACAGCGCCCACGGTACCTCCACTGGTTACTTCGGTAGGCAGAAGACTGGAAGCGGTGGCACCTTTGTGGAACAAGGCCCTTTCTCTTGGTCAGGGGGAAGTCAAGGAGGGGCTTGTTGGCGGCCGTGTACCAGAGGAAGATATTGTGGGTCTCCTCCAAGGTCAGGATGTCTGACTGGGCAGCACCATTGGCAAACTCCTCTAGTGTCATAGTTGGGATTCGGACTAGATAGAGGGCTCTTCCCAAAACGTGCCTCTTGTTGTGAGGGGTGATGGGCAGGCCCTGTCTCTTGCACTCTGCCTCAGCCCAGTTCAGGACAGCCTCAAAGACCACAGCCTCTTTGGTGTTGAGGGCCTCCCTAGTCACAATGATCTCCAAGGTCTGCCGGTCAATTTCACAGAAGCCTTCAGACCTCAGAGCCATCTCAGCCTGTGCATCAATGACTTCCCAGCAGCGCTGGGTCAGTTCAGGCTCCTCAAACAGTCGGCTCTGGGATAGCAGCACACAGGCATTCTTGGCTTCCAGGCTTGTCTCCAGAAAGTTGACACAGGCCTTGGCTAATGCAGGCACAATGTACTTCTTAGCAGCATACAGAGTGGCGAGCACTGTGTCCGCCTCCAGATCAATCTCATCGCTGTACATGTACCTGGGTAAGGCAGGGACTCTTCTGGGGAGCTGCAAGGGCTGGCCTCAGAGGAGCTCATGGACTCCCATGCACACCCTCTCGGGTTGTAGAAAACATGTAGGAAACCACTGGAAGGCAACCACCCCATCCTTCCAGCCCCAGGGTACAGCACTTACTTTAACAAGACCAAGAAGGCTGCAGGCTCGACGTCAGGAATGTGGATTTCTGACTTGACTTCCGCAAGGTCCCCATAGAACATGGCATAGAAGACGGAGCTGCCGACAGCCAAGACGTACTGTGGATGAAACAAAGTCACCTGACCTACAGGGTTGTAAAGAAGGTCCAGGGAAGGCTGCGTCTAGCCAGGCCCGCCAGGGAACAGGGTTGCGCCCCTACCAACCTTGTGCGCGGGCACGCGCCTGGCTGCCCCCAGGGCTCCCACGATGAAGTGGACGTCAGCCATCAGCTCGTTGTTGAACATGAGCGCATTCCTGCAAAGGGGAGAGGCACACGGGCTGGGACGGCGCGCGCCTGGGCTCCAGAGCCCGGGGGCGGGCGGCGGCTCACCTCTCGCGCAGCGTAGGATGGAAGGACTGCCAGTTGGGGCTCTCAGGATTATTGTTATCTGGCGCGGGCGGTGCGGGCAAGGGTGGCAGCGGGACGGGCGCCAGGCGCGGTGGGCAGCAGAGGCCGACCTTCCTGCCCACGGTCGCGCCCGCCGCGTTGCTGTTGGCGATGTCCGTGGCAGTAGGTGCGGAGGCACCGGCGGGCGGGTACAGTTCTGCGGCCATCTTCGCTCCGGCCGGAGCCGCCTCCACACTGGTCGGCGCCGCCCCGCGCGCCTTCGCGCCGCGCCGGGGCCTGGGCAGCGGCTCTGCGAGCACCAGTAGGGAGGTTAGGCACTGTGCCACCCGCCCATGTAGGCAGGCCAGCGGCAGCAGCATGGAGCCACGGCGGCCCTGCCTGCCACCCGCACCCCGCACCCCGCACCGAGCCCGCGGCCCGGCCGCAGGGGGCGCCGTCCCGCCCGTACCCAGTACGGCGCAGGCGTCTCTCGTCACTGCGTCAGGACGACGCGGCTTGCGGCGAGGCCCTGCCCTCGGGTGGGAGGTGTCGAAGCCCCGCCCAATGGGTTCCCAGGTTTGTCTGCGCTGTAGTTGCAGTTTTCTATCACGTAGAGGAGGGAACTCAGCAGCTCAGCTTTTGTAAAAACATGATACAGCTAGCTTTCCTCCATGGAAGAAATGAGTCTCTTTTATGTCTGGCTTCTATAATAGAGCATAAAGTCAAGGGCAGTACACCTTGTTGTATGTCAGAATTCCTTTTTTTTTTTTTTTAAACAAATCAGGACTTTATATGCTCCAGGGAGGCCTCCAACTTCTATGTAGACACTCTATAAGTTAACAGTGCTGCATTTTGTTTGCTAGTTCATCCAGCTGTTGTGACCATTGGAGGACAATTTTCCTCTCCAGATCCTAATCGTGATTCTTTGGGCCTTTACATAGAAGTGAGATAGATGGTAGGAAAAAAAAAAAAACGGTCGTCCGTTTTTATGTCTATGGATGTTTTGTTTGCATGTGTCTCTGTGCACCACACGTGTACCTGGTGTTTGCAAAGGCCAGAAGAGGAACTGGGGAGGGAGCCTGGGGCTTTTGCAAGAGCAGCGAACACTGTTAACCAGGAGCCACATCCAGCCCTTGGGTTACTTTCACTTTTTCGTTGTTGTTGGTTTTGTTTTCTTGTTTGTGCTGGGATTAAAGGGGTGCACCACCACCATCTAGCTTCAGTTGCCTTTTTCTTTTTTTAAGGTTTATTTATTTATTTGCTTGTTTATTAGATAGAGTGTTCTGCCTGCATGTATGCCTGCAGGCCAGAAGAGGGCACCAGACTTCATTACAGATGGCTACCATGTGTTTGCTGGAAGTTGAACTCATGTTCTATGGAAGAGCAGCCAGTGCTCTTAACCACTGAGCCATCTCTCCAGCTCTCTTGAGATGGTATCTTGATAGTTGATGCTGAGCATCTTTCCGTGTGTTTCTTGAAATAGATGTCTACTCAAGTCCTTTGCCCGTCTTCTATTGAATGTGCCTGCTTACTGCATTGAGCTCTTTAGGATACGGATCCTAGCCCCGATCCTAGTGGTTTACAGCCGTTTCCTCCCGTTTTCATAGTTGCCTTGACTGTGAGTAGACTCCTTTTCTACATAGAAACTTTGCAGTCTGAAGTTGCCCTGTTTGTCTGTTTTTGCTTTTGTTGAATCACCACTGTTAGGAACAATGTTAGAGAGTCCCCCATATTTTCTTTTAGGAAATTTGTACATCTTTGGTCTGTTTGGCCATAGTTGTACGCGTGACAGTAAATCTTATTTTCCCGTCCTGTTTGTTGAAGAGACTGCCCTTAACACTATATTTTTATTTGTCCATCTGTTTGCTTTCTGAGTCAAGGGGTCAGCTATGCAGGCCTGGCTGTCCTGGAACTCGCTCTGTAGACCAGGCTGGCCTTGAACTCACCGAGATCCACCTGCCTCTGCCTCCCCAGTGCTGGGATCAAAAGTGAGAGCCATCTTGCCTGTCTTGGTTTCTTTGTTATTTAATGCACATGCCATTTTCATAACTGTTCCACAGATTCTGCAAAAGGATTACTTTGTGGGCAGATAGTAAATGTAATCTAGTGATACCTCAATCCTTTTTCCTGACTCACCTCAGATTTGAGAGAACTTTGTTAAAAGTTCCCATCATTGTGATTTGGAAATGTGTATTTCCAGCACTTCTTGCTTTGTGTGGCTCTGGCTCCGCCTCCCGTGCACACAGACCCCACTCCTGTCTGCTTTGCAGTCACTTGTTTCCCCTGTTCCTCACAGGCCTGCACTTCCATTCAGGGACGGAAGTCAAGCAGCCTCACCCCTTTTTAACTGTTTATTTAGAGACAAGGTCTTGCTGTGTTTCCCAGGCAGACTTCAACTCCCCATCCTTGTACTGCGGCCTGTGTCGCAGCTTGGATTACAGGCATTTGCCATGCATACTATCCTTTTTATTTAGGGAAGGTGAGTGGAGGGGTGGGGGTCAGGGATGTTGAGACAGAGTATCACTCTGTAGATCAGGTTGGCCTTAAATTCATAGAAGTCCATTTGCCTCTACTTTCTGGATGCTGGGATTAAAGATGTGCACCATCATTCTTGGCCTGAGGACATTTTTAAAAATCAGGTCTGTTCATTGCTGTATTCTGAAGGCCTGGAATGTAGCAAATATGTATGTGTATATTATATGTGTAACTTAATTTTTTTCTTTTATAGCAAAGTGCAGGCTTTTAATACCAGCGCTCAGGATGCAGAGACAGGCAGATACCTGAGTTCAAGGCTAGCCTGGTCTACAGAATGAGTTTCAGGACAGCCAGGGTTACACAGAAAAATTCTGCCTCAACAAACCAAAGAAACCTTTGGGGGCCCAAAGCTGTTGAAATTTTACTAAAGGTGACTGCTAGGGTTCTGGACAATTTCACACAACCTAAGTGTGTGGTACCCAGCATAGCCAGGTGGGGTGTGACTTGGATCTGTCCAGTCCCTGCAAGGTTCAGGCTGCTTCAGGGCCTCTTCACTGTCCTCTTAAGCCTTCCCTAGCTCCTTTTGTTGTTTTTCTTTTTAAGAGAAGGGATCTCTGTTTTTTAGGGTGGCCCAAGTGTCCTCCCCATCCATTTCCCAAGCAGCTTGGGTTGCAGGTATAAGCCAATGTGAGTCCCTGTGTGAGCTGGACGGGATCCCTGTGTGTGTGGTCTCATGGAGTCACTTGGGAAAGGTCCTTCTGCCCGGGAGGATGGGCTGGGTGTGAGCCAGCAGCTGATGCCCTTTCTCTTCCCTGCAGCTGTCTGGAAGGTGAGGGAGATGAGTGACACTCTCCCAGTCTCAGAGACTCCTTGTGAGCCGCCCTGGTCCCCCTCCAGTGTTATCTGCCAGCATTCTCTGAGCTGCCTGCTTCTCAGCCCTGAGCATAAGTGGCTCTTCCTCACAAGTCCCCAGGTCTCCTGTCTCTAGGTAGTGTCTTTGCCCTGAAGGCAAGCTAATAATGAACTGAATTCATCAAGTGACTTGGTTGTTCTTGTTGGCCCCATTCCTGGGCTCCATAAATGTTTGATGGAAACTTCAGTGCCCAGCAGAGTGCCAGGCGTACAGGAGGAGACGCAACTGTGAACACGTGTGCACTTGTGTGCCTGTTGTGCTCATGGATGCTGTGCTGACACGCCACTCAGGAAATTCAGAGCCCACATCTGTCCAGCTCTCTAAGCTCTCATCACTCTCCCAAGAGGAGGTGGCAGTTATGCCCCATCGTCCCTACTGTCTTATATGCCCAGATTTGCTCCCTGTGAAGACAGCGCTTTCTCTCTGGATGCAGTGAACACAGCTACACAGCTAAGGCTCAGAGAGGCTGTGCTGCAGTGGAGGGGACCTCAGAGAGCCTGTGTGATGGAGACGTGGGCAGAGTCACCAGTCACTGTGTATTCTTAGTGCTTCGTGTACATGTGTGCATGCACACTAAGGTATTGTGTCTACTGTGCAGACCCGTGCTTGTACATTCCACGCTTTGCTCATCTACTGGAATTTGGGGAGAAGAACCATGAGGTATCCATGACAGCTCTGAGGCTTCTGCAGAGAATGAAGAGGGATTGGATGCATACAGGCCGGCGCCCCTCCGGCCTCTGTGGAGCAGGTACAGTGTGGGCCATGTGCCCCTAGGATGACAGCTCAGGCTAACAGTTGAGTAGCATTTTCTATCCTGATGCTTGACAAGCACGTGCATGTGTCTAGGAGGGTTCTAGCCATCAAATTTAGGGTCCCGTGCATAGTAGGAAAATGAACCCTAGTCATCTGTTTTGAGCCTTAAGCAAGCAGTCAAGCACATGAGGTATTGGTTACAGTTCCAGAATCCACCTTACATAAGAGCTGTGTCCTGAACCCAGGACCTACCTGACCTTCATGATTTTCCCTCCTTAAGGACTCTGGCACTTACTCCCTTGTTGGCCTCTGTAACTTCTGAGATGAGAGACTGAAAGGACAATTGGTAGCCCTCGCTCCATGCCAGGTTGTCCACTCGGCAAATTGTTGCCTCTCAGCATGGTTAGTGATGTGGCCTCTGATGTGAGACACTGAGTCCTTGCTAGCCCAGCAGCACAGTTGTTGTGGTTGCACCTGTGAGGACCTTCAGGAGCTGACTATGGCCTAGACCAGGAGTCCCCTGCTCAGGAAGAGCTTCCAGGCCAGCAGGGGTATTGCAGACGGTTTTCTTTGTTCTGCCAGGTCCCACGGCTCCTTCAGCCCCAAAGAACACGTAGAGAGAGACTCATGTTAATTATGAAACTGTTGGCCAATGACTTGGGCTTCCTATTGGCTAGCACTGTCTTAATTATTAACCCATTTCTGTTAATCTAAGTATTTCCATGTGGTCTTATCTTACCAGAGAAGGGTCTCTACCCTTCTGTTACTCCTTTGGTGGCCTATAGGCAGGCTCCCTTTGCCTACCTTTCCCAGAATTCTCCTCATCTCCCAGTCTTGCCTATCTTTCTGTCTTATTGGCCAACAGTGTTTTTATTCATCAACGACAAGAGAAACATGTATACAGAAGGACACCCCATCGTCAGGGCCTGTTCTTTCTGTAGCATCCATCTTCCTACCTCTTTGCATGCCAGGTACCACTCCTGCATCAGTAGGGTGATGCTGCTTGTATATGGGACCTGACTTCCACATTTACACTGCAAATTTTAGGGCCCCATGCTTACTGTTACCACAATTTACACTTGTCAGATGCTGTCGTTAGCCTGTGCCCCAGCCTTTTCCAGCTTAACTATATCCTCAGGATCCTCTGCTCCCATCATAACCATATGTCATCTTAAAGTTAATTCACGTGCTTTGAGGAGTTACTAGAAATTCTCAAATTTTCTGCTTTCCTTATGTTTAAAAGTAGAATGTAGTACAGCCTCAACCCAAAGTAAGAATGGGACTATCTTTGCCGGAGACT